TTGATAAAAAATGTGCAAATGCGGCATTTCCTAGAGCAATGCATGATGGGAAATATAGTTTTCACTTTAATGTGCYCTAAAATTATCTAAAAATCTGTTGCTATATCATTTATTTTCTCCCTTTACAGAGACTGAAGAAAATTATGATTGCATTTGCCCAAATAAAACACAAAATTGGATATAACAGACTTCATTTCCCGTAATAATTTATGGCATTTATCAAAACTGGGAAAACACTCTCAAGCGTCAGCCTAACGGACTCCAACACATCCAACTAAGTGTTGAAATTAAACTTAATTGTCAGTAATTTTTAATCTAAGAGAGCCATTTCTATTCTAATATACACATTAATTATGAATTTCCCCTTAATCCTTAATTACATCACATCCTATCTCTTATTATGTCATGTTGTTTTTTTTGGCTTTAATACTTTAATACAAAATATTGTACAACTCAAAATTGTGGGTAAAATTATAATTTTKCTCGTTGTAGTTTGGAGGGAGGAATTTCACTTAAAGCTAAGTACTTTAATACACATAAATCATACACCTTTCCTTTGTAGAGTTTACACAAAATTGATTGCTATTTGATTAACAAGTGTAAATAATGTTACTATTTACATTTTAGTACACAAAATCTTTTTTAACTGAAATTGCTYATTTGYGCTTCGGTCATTGCAAGACCTTAATATTTTTTAGCAGACTTTTTTATCTTCGTGTTGTTAAAAAAAWTTCAATCCACAACCCAAGGTCATTATATTAAATCAACCAATGAAAATACATACAGCTGTTGTACTGTCAAATGGTYCGTTTATTAGATAAGAAAACTGAAGKGCAAGCGGGGGGTTACTACTGATGAGCCACGTCGCACAGTYACAYATATGAAATATTTAGTCAGTGTTGTTCTATATCTAGAACCTGTGCTATGTAATGTTTCAAGTCACAAGTATAAGACCATGCTTCATGGAGTTTCAAAAAGCATTTATTGTACCATACATACTATTTCATATTCTCAACCATATCTCAGTCGACTCCCTCCTCAGACTCCTTCGTCTCTAGAAGATGTTAATTATAATTTTAATTGCTTTTCTAATGAATTTCTCACCTAATAAAAACATTAATAAATCAGTCAAACAAAGTGTAAAGTATATTGTACAATGTATTTTGGTAAGTTATTAGTTAAAGCCACATCACGCTAAAAATCTAACATCATATTTCTATCATAAAACTGTCATATAAGCTGTCTTTCAAGAGAATCGAAATGCAGCCTGTTTGTTGGGTTGCATCTTTTCTATCCACGATGTCGTTAATGGGCAATGGTCTGTTTCTACTGGTYGTATATCGGGACAAAGYTCTTCGAGTTGCAGCAAGTACACAAGTTCTAATATTGCTTGCGATAAATGATGTGGGGTTTGGATCTCTAGTTCTTTTCACCTCAAATTGTTTTTATTATATAGCGGAATCTGACACTTGGGAAAACAAAGTATCCTTCTACATGAAAAGCGGAATTAGTGCATTTATGCTTCTGACTGTCGCAATCGAGAGATATCTAGCGGTGATGAAGCCTTTCTATCACAAGGTACATGTCACCAAAAAGTGGATACGGAAATTATTATTTCTGGCGATAATCATTCCTAGTATTATCAATATACCTGGCGTCTTCTTTAAAAGTATAAGTGAGCCTACGACCAATCTATCAGCGAACTCCTCACAATCCAACCCTATCAACGTCAATGAGGGCTACGTCGTTTCACGGGAAGTAATTCTTGTGTACGAAGTGTTGGTGGTCTGTTTCATCAGTATTTTTCCAGCATTAATGATGAGTGTCCTGTATGGTCGTATCATCTATCGTGTATGGTTCAAGAAAAATGCTGAAGGCACGAATGTTGCCATTTTGAGAGCGCGACGTAAGATGACCAAACTATTTCTGACTGTAACGATTGTGTCTTACCTTTGCATGTTACCACTTAACTTGAATTTGTCGAGACAGGTCAGCGATTCAGCGAAGACATGGATGCCTGTATTCCCCCTCATGAACACTGTGTTAAACCCTTTGATATACAGTCTACATTCCACTCCTTTTCGTCGGGGAATCAAGTCATTATCCATGTGCTGTTTACCCAAACGCCTTTGTGGCGATAATGGGATCCATGACAGGCGATCCCAAGACAGGACAATAAATTTATCTTTCATTAATCATAGAAATCAAACCTTTAACAAAGAGGATGCTGCTATGTCGAATCAAGTGGTTTGTTTGTCTGTCATAGAAACCAACAAAGAATGAATATTTAGGACACCTCTATACTGCAGGCTCACCTCGACAATACGGACACAATTCTGTACATAATTAACAAAACAAAACAAAAGGAAAAAAGAAGTCGATTTGATAAAAAATGTGCAAATGCGGCATTTCCTAGAGCAATGCATGATGGGAAATATAGTTTTCACTCTAAATTAATCTAAAAAATCTGTTGCTATATTTATTTTCTCCCTTTACAGAGACTGAAGAAAATCATGATTGCATTTKTCCAAATAAAACACATAATTGGATATAACAGATTGCATTTCTTGTCGGAATTGCTGAAAGCAAAATTATTCAAAATTATTATTTCTTGCTTGAAAATGCCAATCGATGTATGACAGGTGCAAATGCTACTGATGAATCTCGTACATAAATCATATGCTATGGTTTTACTACTAAGATTTTGTGTAATAATTCGACTTTAATTCCATTCATGTTTTGTAATTAACGTGGCGTAGGAGTCACAAAATAGCTGAGTGTCGAAAGACTCGCTGATATTATATTCTTGTTTAATGATTGAACGGCTTGGCGCCAAAATCGAGCAATCACTGATCTGATCAACTTGAATGTGGTTTTGCTGTACAAATAAAATAGACAAGTACATCAAATAGGGATATGATATAAAATGATAAAACCGAAAAGATCAAAAATTAATGGTAAAAAGATMTTTTCATTTAGCAATTACAATTATCAACTTTATTGTGTCAGACTATATGCGTCAACAAGAACGTTATTATTAACAATGATCATGAATGGCGATCATTAAAGAAAGATTTTAATGATATGATTGTCACATATTCTAAACAAAATACACTGTGGCCTCGCGATCATCGACGACCAGCTTTTTTGATTTTTTTTTTTTTTTTTCTTTCAAATTTGTAGCACGAATGTACACGGAGATGAAACGGAGATGCATCAAACCAGTGAAAATGTATATAATTGGAGTTTTTTTGTATACTGACTTGATTATTACTGACTGGGGTTTACAATTCTTCCGGAAATAATATGAATGTGGTATATGAGATATTTGAGTTTTAAGGAGCACCTGTCCTTACAACCTCGTGATTTCGGSCAGTGACTATGAGAAATAATCAGCATCGGTTTAATTAGAACGGTTTGCCACGAARTGTTTCATTTCAARAGCTATTATTGATCRGTGTTTTCCTGAAAGTCTGCTTCTGGCAGCAAATGATTGAAGGAAAATATAATGAAATAAATGCGGGCTTATCACAATGTTGTCGTAGATTAGCATTTTGGGTAACTTTGCACCACGTCAMTGCGCTTAAATTATTGTCACCATTAATGATTTAAAAGCTTTTCGTTGRTCATTTTTGAACAAAGCATTTAATCTCCTTTTTGAAAAATTCCTTTAAAAACGCATCAAAGATGTGTTTATGCTTACAATTGCTTCTGAATTGAATATGTGAAGTCTTWGACATTGCTTTAGATGAAGCAGTTGAAGTCACTCAGGTGTTGTGGGTACAACACCTTTCTCTAAAACAATTTTTCAATCATTTTGCTATAACTCAAGGATCAAAATGTCATATTTTTTGACATCTATTTTGATATCACCGTTCAGTATTCTTGGCAATACTTTAGTCTGTGTTATTGTGTTGRCAAACCCGTCGATGAAGACGTTTACTAACTTTCTACTCGTCAATCTAGCTATTGCTGACATGTGCTACAGCCTTCTCCAGACCATTGGAATGATTACACTAAAAGCAGCCGACACGACGTTCGACTGGCCGCTGTTTTGTAGGAGCTCTAGTTTCACAATTCACCTTGTTTGTGGCGTCTCGATTGGAACTCTTCTCATTATCGCGGTGGAAAGATTTTTCGCGATTGTTAAGCCATTAAAATTCAAACGAAGAARAAATGCATTAGTCTTTTTAATGGCGTTGTGGTTTGGAATTTTTCTGTTCATGCTTCCTCTATTGTTTTTCGCCTGGGATTATAAGAAAACCAAGATGGAGTGCGACGTTTTAAATTACAGTCCTCCACGTCGCATTTACTACTTTATTGTGGCAATTTTATTCTTATTTCTACCGAGTTGTGTCATCATTTATTGTTACAGTAGGATAATCTACACTCTGTGGTACTCATCGCASWCAGTTGCAAACCAGACAAACCTGGCGCGAATTAAATCTCGTCGCAAATTAGCAAGAATGTTGATGGTTGTGTCAAGTATTTTTGTTACATCCTGGATGACKGTCTGTGTCGTTCAACTCATGATGTTATTTGGTGCGTATGTGCCTGACACTTTGAGCATACTAACTCATTTATTTGTACACCTGAACACCGCCATTAATCCCGTGGTCTACTCGTTGCACAGTGCTGGMTTTAGAAGGCATTTGAAGAACATAGGCCGCGCTTGTTTTTGCAACACGAAAGAAAATTCAACGTGCGATTCGACGTTTGGCGTGTCAAATCGCCAAATGTCAATGAGATCAAAAAACACTGAGAGAAAGGGTTCTGAACAATTACTTGAAGACCAACGTCAATGCGACGTTAAACTATGAAGAAATGTAGTGCTTTAGGATTTCTGTTTAAGCTTTGTTATCAAMATTTGTGGTGGAAAATTTAGACTTCWYTTAACGTCACTGCAAAGCAATGAAAGGAAATTCAATCGCCTAAAAATGTAAAAATGAAATGCGACGTCAATTAAACGCTGAAKAWATTTCCATGACGGTTCTGCAAGTCGTCCTTGCATACAATTGATGGCAAGGTTTCTGCCCGGAGGAAAAGTCATAATAAAAGAGGATGATCATCTTAGATGAATGAGTAATTGCCTACAAAAAGCCTATACTTTAAGGCAATTCGCTAAAGGCACCAATGAACTTGCAAACAAAAGCCAATAAAAAGTATTCAATGAAAAAATTTGACGGGAATAATACAAAATCGTTACAAAAACAATGAGCTCAAAGTTGAACAAGGAAACTTTTCGTGGTTTACCATACTGTAAACATATAGCTAGACCACAAGAAAGGCACGAAAAGACTAAATTACATCACAAAAGATCGTTACTCCTGGCACTTACTTCACTGGCAAAACTTTTAAGTTTTAAAAAGATTAAAAATTTAAAATTAAATTAATTAAAAATTATTAATAAATTATTAATTAATTATTAATTAATTAATAATTAATTATTAATTATTATTTATTAATTAATTATTAATTATTATTAATAAATTATTATTAATTAATTATTATTAAAATTATTAATTTAAAATGATTAAAAAGATGAGATGACCGACTTTCCGAAAGTACAGAATAGTCTTCGTCGCGGTTCCCTGTGCCATCTTGAAATAAAAAGGTTCCACTGCTTTGAAGCGAGACGGACGATGGGCGGGCAAAGATACACACTTATAAATAACCATCTATGGGTGTGCATAATTGTCTTCTATCATTGCACGCCCACCGGTACGTTGTTTTACCTCGATCCAAAGGCACGGTTACATTCCAAGATGGCGGAAGGAAATGCAAAGGAATTCACGATTTTGCGCGCTTGACAACCGTAACAAATCGTTTCCATTTTTGATGTTTTCACATTTTCTTCATTTTATTTCTACTGCATTTTCTAGTTTTGTTGCTAGGCTGTGTGTRTGATATGTTTAACGTCATGAGTCCGTTGCTTTTAAAGCGTGTGAATACATGTATGCGTAGCATTTGTTTTCAATTATAAAGGGTTYATGTGTACATGCGATATGCCGGTCGCCTGAAAATACGATCTCTGTGGCAGACGGTGGCAATTTCTGTCCTTTTTCGTCTCARCGCCGCCGAACACTTTCCTTGATTATCTGTCATAAAAAAACAAAGTATTTTTTTTAAAGTTTTTATCCTATAAATTACCCTGTTTCATTACGACGTCACATCATGTTACATGGTCGACAGACTTGCTCAACAATAGGAATTTGTAAATAGCTTCTCTTCTTTGTTCGCTRTTTGCCGTTTTGTCGTGTTTTTCTTTCGCGCCGATCCACTTTAATTRGTTGACTATAATCCTAGCTTGCTTTGTCATGACGTCATAACGAAATACGACTGAYCAAAGAATATTTRAACAATCATAGTAACTCTGCTAAGGAAATGAAAGACTGCGAGMCACTAAAAGAGGAMAACAAACAAACCTCTTCGTGAATAAACTGCCACCTCACACAGTGCCAAACGCGTCTGACCAATGGATTGAATCGAAACGTATTGTCCAGGGATAGGCGGATCGCAGGTCGACGTCCAAAGCTCGCCAAGATGGATGCCTTTGACTCTGCTTCCACACATTGGGTTCTTCTCGAAGCTCTTTTGCATTCCAACTCGAACTTCAAAGTTCTCAAGGGCATCGACCTTCACGTTTTCTAATAAAGTGGAACAGAATAAAGCGTTTCTTATCATGCTAATAAGCTCTTAAATAAGTGTATATGTCATTAGAAAACTGAATGATCAAATCTGAAAAGAGAATCAGTGTTAATTTGCTGTCAATCCCCTCGCCATTTTCCCTCGCAAACACTTCTCCTCTCCAATCCTCCTTTTCTCTAATACTCCACCAYTTCCCTAAAATTTRAACTTGTTTACCTTCAGCAGTCTGAATACTGACATCCGTGATTATGTATTCAGCTTGTAGATCAACCCGCCACCATGGGTCCTTTGAAAGTGCAGTGTGGGCACACGACCCAGCAGTGATATCGAMATTCATGTTTCCATCAACGGCAAGCTCTGGTCCTACTTTCTTTAAAACAGTTTCTTTTATTTGAGACTYTAGTTCTTGTAATTCTGTTGCATCSAGCTCCTTTTGGCTGAATAGACTCGACTGTTCTGCGGGCTTATTTAGTGCCAAATCTGTTCAATATAAAGTCTGATTACCACCCGAGAAAGAGCTCTTGTTGTTTTATCTATTTATTACAGTTTACTTTTCTCAAAGTTGATTTTATTTTTTATTGATTATTATCTAATAAGTAATTAAAAAATGACAAAAGCGGCCAACTTTCTTCAGTACCTTCCACATAGTTGTCACATACGCTGTGCATTTTACCGATTGTCCATTCCTCTTCTTTCGGAATCACAAACTCCTTGGAAACATCCTCGGGTTCTTTTTCGCATGGAGCCATCTTAACAGATTTCTCTGCAAAAACATATTCGTGAATAAGTCTTTGGATTTACCCTTCAAGKAGCAATTTTATCAGCAAAAAGTACGTTGCTACAGAATCGCTCAGTGTCTTTTTCCACTGTTGTTGTTATCGCTAGTTATGTTGTAAGAAGGGCTTTCAAAACACATTGGATGATATTGCAACGCCAAAATTGTATCACCTCTCCAGCCACTATCCTCGCATTTGTCAATCATCTTGACAATTTTTTCGCGAATATTGCGATGTGTAACAGTGATTTTATAATAATTGAATGAATCATGATAAATATTGAACAGACGTTTCGACGAAAATCATACAGAGCGAAGAAAGCAAGTTATCTGAGTAAAAGTACTTCTATCAACTACGATATAGAAATGAAAGAAAGTTATAGTGCTTAGAAGGAGGCAATATAACTTTCTTTCATTTCTATATCGTGTTTATCATAGTGCCATGCGGTCTTCATATTCATATCTTCTATCAACTACTTGGACATACGATTTTGTATGACGCAATTCGATGGATCGTCGACTGGTTGAATTCTGTTATAACTACAGGTAAAATGCTGATTTTGTGCTCCGATCTTGCATTCTTGTTGGTCAACCTTCTGGTCTTTCCCTGTTCCACTGAACGTTAAGCATCGCTCACTTCCTACGTTCTGAAATAATCATGTACCATGTTRAGAGTATTCTGATTGGTTTTTAGTAGACATAAGCATAAACATAGCGACAAACATAAGCATAGCATAAGAAACGAGCATTTTAGTTTCTGCTTGTGATTATTCCTATGTTTATGTTAGTCACTAGCTCATCCTTATCGCTCTTAATATCTCCATAGAAACTGACCAGCCTTATATTATATGTCATATTCACTTATTATAAGATATTCTTGTTGCAACGTTACCATGAGTTCTCCTGTAAGTGTGAAYACCCATAAAGAATCTTTRCCAGTGCAGAGTCCAGTGCCAAAAGTGCTTCCAATCTGGTCATTTGGGCTCGAAAGGCACATTTCGTTACCATTGATAATTTTGAATGCAGCTGAATTTGAGAATACAATAATGAGAGTTAATCGATAGGACCGAAATGATGACTTTAGCCAAAAAAAGTTGTTTTTTAAATTTGCGCGCAGCAGTTCTGTTTCATGCAAACGATGCTCGAATAGTTTGGCTCAATCTTTTCATTTTTCTTACGACATTTTTCGGAGCTTATTTCATTTGGCTGTTCTTAAAATGTTTTTTTTTTTTTACCTGTTATCTGTAATTGGCTTAAATGCTTTTCTATTTGACCTCAAAACATTATCTAAAATCTTACCTCCAATTTTATAATCACCAACGTTACTTGGTCTGTCGTAATTGGGCTCAGTATATCTTGGTTTCACAAGTTTTCCGAAGAATTCAATGGCTTTGTTAGCGATAACTATTCCAGCATCTACTACGTCTTGTAGAGTTAGCGTCACCTCYATAAATTTCCGCACGTTCAAGAACGTCAAATCAATCGACGCTGTGACTGCGGTATTTATCAAACTTGGTTGTAGTTCCAGTTCAAGTGAGATTTCATGGATTTTCAACAGGTATTTAGGGACTGTTTTCTTGACCCAATAGTATAGATCCTCAGWTCTGTAAAGACTTTGGTGGGCCATATCGAGACCTTTGCATACTCCTTTAGTAATATGCTCAGGTAGCTTGCATGATGCTAAAAATACAATAAACTTATTCTTAAATAGTTTTAAGCTACAGTTGGACAAAAGTAACTAAAAGTGCACAGTCCAGAAACAGTTTGGAAAAAAACTGTGACAAGAGACAAGTTGGAGAAATTGCATTGGATGATGATAATGCATGAGAGAAGCATCTATAGAATTCTCTATTGTTTTGGCCTTACCTTCACAAAATGTCTTGGTCTTAGCACAGATTTTTGGCATAAGGTCCTTGCAGAAGTAACGACCGACGTATCTCTTTCGTCTGATTCTGGTCGCCATTTGTGTTCGTCCTGGGAAATACTCCGCGTGTCTTCGTTCTCTTTCAGTTTTGAAGGTTTTTGCAATTTTCCTTGCAATACCAACAAACCAACCGCCTATTTGGATCAAAACATGAGTGACATTACTTGTGCAGTGAAAATCTTAAACTATATATTCGAATAGACTCTATTATTGACACACTCTTCGCRCCAATCAGCTAAGTTTAAAATAATTCTCAATATTTTGGTACTTCCATGCACATAAATCATACCAAATTTGTTGGCAGCTCCACCGATGTAGTTTTTAAAACTATCAATAGCTTCATTACAACTGTCAGTCACCTAAAAAATACATGAAATAAACATCGAGGGTTGACCAGAAGAATGGCAAGTCATTTAACCCGAATGGAACTCTGRGAAATGGCTACCAATGACTATTGTAGTAAGGACATTGGAGTTGGGTTTGTGGGAGGGGACTGGACGGAGTCTGYTCTTCTAAATAACGGTTCTTGCACTAATTTTTTCCTGTGAAAGGGATTTTTGCGCTACATTGTTTACAATCTCACAAACAAATGTGTCGCCCTTCCTTCTTTAAAATAATTTGTTCCTGCCAAACCAAGGCAAACGTTTTCATGGTGAAAAACGGCTTATATTTTTTTAGTTAGGACATTTTATTTTCCTGGAAAAAATTCTTAGAAAGTATTCTGTGCTTGGAGATTTCTCCTGAATTTCTCGCTGGCAAACAGTTGTGATTTACAGCTGCCTGGGACATCAGAACAGATATATTTCTCCCAGGAACCCGTCGGCTCCTCCTTGTAAAATTAAGACGCTCCATTGTATAGAAGTAGGAAGTTTGCATGATCATTTAACTAAATCCCAACATTACCTGTTCACATTTGATATCCTGACATTGCGTACAATAAACTCCGACTTGTTTTTTACATTTTTCTTTTTCTTCGCTGAGTTTATCTTTAGCAGCTCGAA